GGAAAACTGAGGCTCAGACAGCCCCTTGAACACTGCCTTTCTCACGGGATCATGCCTGTCTAGCCTGGTCACTCCCCTTCCTGCCAGTCTTAGCCTCTCTGTGTCCCCACCTAACCCTAACCTGATACTCTTGAGGAGCTCTGTGCTCAGGAGAACTGAAGGGTCCCAGGGCCTGCTGGCCTTCCAGAGGTGTGGCCACTGGTCCAGGGGCCTCCCATAGTCTATGACTGCCCGGCCTGTTTCTTGCCATAGGAGGAGAAACCGGAGCTCACCCCTAACAAGGTGACGTCCCTCTCGGACAGCTACCTTGATCAGACCTCTTCAGGCTCCAGCTTGGGCTGTAAGTCCCCCGTGCCAGGCCTAAGTGAGCCAAAGCAGCAGAGTGGTCAGAGGTCAGGGGTGCCCAGGACCAGAGCCGGAGGCCCAGCAAGATGGAGGCTGCCCAGGACCAGAGCCGGAGGCCCAGCAAGATGGAGGCTGCCCAGGACCAGAGCCGGAGGCCCAGCAAGATGGAGGCTGCCCAGGACCAGAGCCGGAGGCCCAGCAAGATGGAGGCTGCCCAGGACCAGAGCCGGAGGCCCAGCAAGATGGAGGCTGCCCAGGACCAGAGCCGGAGGCCCAGCAAGATGGAGGCTGCCCAGGACCAGAGCCGGAGGCCCAGCAAGATGGAGGCTGCCCAGGACCAGAGCCGGAGGCCCAGCAAGACGGAGGCTGCCCAGGACCAGAGCCGGAGGCCCAGCAAGACGGAGGCTGCCCAGTGCCAGAGCCAGAGCACAAGCTCAAGTTCCAGCAAGACTGAGGCCACTTGAGAACCGAACCCAAGTCTCAGCAAAACCGAGGCTGGTCAGGACCCCAGCTATTATGCTGTTCTCTGAAGGGGCCACTGAGCCCCCTTGCTTCTTGCAGGAAAGGGGAGAGATTCTACTCCACACAGACACTGGCACTCAAAAAAGCTGCCTCTTTCTGCAGCAAGTAGAACCTTCAGCCTACATTTCTCTGGTCCCATGGCTAAGTTTATTACACTTGTTCTCTTTTACAAAATTAAAAACTTCTATAACCAGGCCCAGTGGCAACTTGAGTCCCTCCATTCATGGAAACTGAGAAGTTCTGGCTTGGCTTTGTGATACTGGGACACAGGGTGGGGGGTGGAGAGTGGGGGAGCGTGCCAGAGCAAGGGGCAAGGTAACAGACCGAGGCGGGAGGGAGCAGCCACGAGCCACAGTCCCTGAGTTACAATTCATGTTAAGAAGGCTCAGGCTGGAGGGGGAGGTCAAGGCTCAGTAAGGTTCTGGGGTGGCCGGGGGTTTCCCTGGGGAAGGCAGCAAGGGCCAAGATGCCCTCAAACCAGTCAAGAGGTCAGGGCCCTTCCCGGCCCTCTGTCCCATGTCCTGGCCAACACTCTCTTCATCTTCACTTTGTGCTCTGAGTCCCACTCTCCTGGAGGCTCAGGACAAGGGTCCCTCTGACAGAGGCCCCAGGCCTTTCCTGCATGGCCCAGCCAGGTAGAGAAAGGCAAGGGTGCCACCCGGGAGTCAGAGAAAGAAAGCGATTCGGGCAGCCACGGTCTTGCAGCCATTGGAGGAGAAGAGCTGTTCGTCCTCAGGGAAGAAGGTGGTGCTGTCCAGCACAGCCTGGACAACTTCGTCCCTTGGCTCCAGGCCCAGCTGAGCCAACTCGTTTAGCACACAGTGCCGTACGTGGTGTCGCTGGAGTGGGAGGAAGGGCACCACAGTGTCCAGGAGGTGCTCCTCCATGATGCCCGAGTGCCAGAAGCCATCTGCAGGAGGGCAGGTAGGGAGAAGACTCTGTACCTCACAAGCGGGGAGAGCCAGGTCCCCGTCCCCAAGAGGCAGTGGAGGTAAGGTGCTGGCCTCCATCCTCAGCTACCTTCCAGGCATAGGGCTGGGGCAGGGGGGTTGTATGTCTCACACAAGGTCACAGAGCAGGGAGTGCCAAAGCCTGAGCTTGGAACTGCTGGGTCAGTGTGCAAGGCATGAGACCCCGGGAGAACCTGGCCCAGCCCTGGGAGTCCGGCCCACTGGGTCTGGGTGGGAAGTCTCCCCAGGATGGGGCTCCTGAGCAGAACTCACGGTGCGGGTTGTCCAGCACAGCCCGGGAGATGACCGGCTCCAGCTCCTGCAGGCGGATCTCCTCACGGTCCCGGCGGCTACGCCACGCCTCCAATGCCACCTGGTTGATCTGCTCGCCACCAGTGTTGCTAAAACCATGGGGACCCAGGCTGAGACTCAGGGATGAATGAAGGGCAGGATTTGGGCCTCACTTTCCCAGTCCCACCTAACATGACCTGGGAGCACAGCTTAGTGTTGGCAGGAGCCAAACCTACTGAAAATGCTCCAAGTCCCCTCTCCAGTCTTGTGTCCAAAACTGTAACCCCTGTAATTCACCCATACGTGCCACTTACTTTACAGCTGACAAAACACTTTTGTGTCCTATAACCGGCTCCCTCACCAGCCTCCAGGACAATGGGGCATTAACACTGGCCCCGACATTGTTAGGAGGAGTTGGAAGCTCAGAGAGGTGAAGTGGTTTTGCCTGAGGAACCACAGCTAGCATTGTTGGAGCTGGGCCTAGAGGACTAGAGCTCTAGTCTTTTTTTTTCCCCCAGGCCTGTGTCTTCCTGGCTACAAAAGAGGAAAAACTCTTGACCTGGCAGGGCTTCCATAGAGAAGTTGTGAGGATCAAAAAGACTGAGCCCTGAGCCGGACTGTGGCTCACTTGGGAGAGTGTGGTGCTGATAACACCAAGGCCACGGGTTCGGACCCTATATAGGGATGACCGGTTGCTCACTAGCTGAGCGTGGTGCTGACAACACCAAGCCAAGGGTTGAGATCCCCTTACCGGTCATCTTTAAAAAAAAAAAAAAAAAAATACTGAGCCCAGAATGGTCTTTAGGAATGTCAAAGGGGAAGTCAACCACCTTGAATGACAATGTCACCAGCGAGAGTGGGAGGGAGCTTTGGGAAAGTCTGAGTGAGCCCGGGAGGAACAGTATTCCAGGACTGCATAGCTGGATCTCTGAGGAGTGAACCCCACTGTACCCACTGCAAAGCCCGGCCCCACCTGATGAAGATGAAGATGGCTTTGCGATAGTTGGTCCCATACACAACCCATGAGGAGCCCAGGAAAGGTCGCAGGACCTCCATTAGGCCTGGGGGCAGCTTGTCCATCTCATCGAAGAGGAACAGGGAGCGGCTGCAGGCAGTGAGGTTCCCCTGGACCCAGCTCTTAAGATCCTTCTGCAGGGGAGAGACAGGAGCACGCGGTGGGGCTGGAGATACTCCCCCAACCCCAGACTTCTTCTCAAGCCAAGAACTAATCCCCTTCCCAGGGAGATATGGTCTCCCAGAGAGCACCAACCCGTAATGAGACTGATGGCAAAACTGTGGCAGGATTTGCTCAAGGTCACACAGCCAGTCAGCAGGAGAATAGGGACTTGAACCTAGGCCTCCCACCTCCCTGGTTCAGGGTCTCTTTCCATGATACCTACTGCTTTCTATAAAAGGGGAAGGATCCTTCCTGCTCCCTGAACCTTCCCAACGGTGTTGACAGCTGTAGTGAATTGAGTCCCCCCAAAAACTCATTGAAGCTTGAATTGTGTCCCCCAGGTTTTATGTATTAGAAACCTAGCCCCTACAGTGACTGTTAGGAGGGTGGAAAATCCTATTATGGTAATTGAAAGGTGGAGCCTTGAAGAGATGATTGGATTGTAGGACCACGCTGTAGTGAATGGATTAAAAATAGTGGTCAGGGGCGTGGTCCTGAGGGCTTTAAAAGAAGAGGAGAGTCTGCCTTTATCTCTCTTTCCATCATCTTGCAGTGTGAGACCCCTGGGTCACTGCTGCCACCACCAGATGGACTTCGGACTTCCCAGCCTCAGAAACTATAAGCAATAAAGTTTATTTTCTTTATAAATTACCTGGTTCCAAGTATTTTGTTATAAACAGCTGAAACAGATCAGCCTGGAAAGTACTCGTAGTCAACAACAATAGTAGTAAGAGACAATATTTACTGAGCACGTACTCTGAGCCATGAACTGGGGCTAGGTGCTTTACAGGGAGGCTATCTGTAGTCAGTCTTCCTGTATATGCAGACTGTCTGGCAAACATAGGTGCTCAATAAATAATACCTGCAATTATATAATCCCATGTCCTTCACAATAATCCTGGCAGGTATGACCATTTCTGCCTCCCAGAAATCAAAGAGAACTTCCTGCCAGTTAGAATGGTGCCATCCCAAGCTGTGTCCAGGACGGGTCCTTAGGGCTGAGGCTCCAATTGGCTGTGGGGCCTGGAGCAAGTGACTCCCCTCTCGGCTCAGGACTCACTCCCTAGGGTCTGTCACCCCGTGGTGCAGGAGAACAGTGGTCCAGCCTACCTTGTAGCGCTCGATGTGACTGGGGTGAGGGAAGTGGATGACTGGAGAAAAGTGGTGCACGTGGGGGCTGCGGAGGCCACCCTGGAAGAGGTAGTGTGCCAGCAGGGAGCTGACGTAGGACTTGCCGGTGCCGGTCCAGCCGTGCAGGGAGAGGACCAGCGGCTTGGTGGGGGCCGGGTCTTGCACGAAGGCCTTCAACGCCTTCACCACCAGCTCCCTGGCCAGATGCTGGCCAGCCAGATGCTGGGCTAGGTCACACTCTAGACCTAGGGCCACCAAAGGATAGTGTTAGAGCTGAGGACACATCCCCACCAAGGCAGAAGTCCAAGGGAGAAGTCATGTCTGGAACCTGGTCTGGGGAATCTCTGTGTTCCGGAGCATATGTCCAAGCTGTCTATGTACATGGCATGGGGCCCTTGGGGTCTCTGGCTGCAGGAGCCACCTCAAGCCTGACTCAGCTCGGCAGCGCCCCCACCAGGCGGTCCTCCAGATTGCTATCAGCCCTAAGTGAGAGCGAGCTGTCAACAGGGTCTGCCCCAGACCCCTGCCAATCCCAAGGCAGGCTTCTCTCCCTCGTCGGTCGTGGAGGCCTAACACCTCCCCCCCCCCAAGCCCTGCTGTCAGAGGCCTGTCTCCATCCCGGCGGGCCCGCATGGACCCCAACAGGCACCCCCGAAACCCTCGCCTCTGGTCGGTGCCCCAGGCTCTCAGGTTCCCCCGAAGCCGAGCCCGCTTCCGGCCCTGGCCATCCTCAAGTCCGCGCGTCCCGCCCCTCGGTTCTACCCTCGGGGTCTACAGCTGCTCCGGCCCGGCAAGCCGGGCTCCGAGCGCTCCCCTGTCCGCCTGCCCCTCCGCTCCGGGCTCCCCGGCTCCTCACCCGGCAAGTCGGGCCGGAAGTCGCATTCACAGAAGGCGCCGAAGTTGCAGCGCAGCGAAGCCAGGTCCCAGGAGGCGGTCGAGGCCAGCCCAAGCAGCCCGAGCAGCCCAAGGAGCGAGCCCCAGGGTCGGCGGCCAGGCGCCGTAGCCGCCATCCGGGTGAGGCCGGCGCTCTGTATGGGGCGGCCAACCACCTCGCCAGCAAACTACAACTCCCGGCCTGCACTGCTCCGAAGCCACGCTCATCGCCTACAACTCCCGGCTCCCCCTCGCCTGTCGTAAAGGCCCGCCCCGTCGTCCTGCCGCAGGATCGGAAGGCGGCCTCCAGGGGGAGCCCGTGAACCGTCCAATCCGGGACGGCGGGCCGCGTTGCCATGGCCACTGTAACTAAGGGACCATCATAGTAGCTCAGAAAGAAGAATAAAAGATTGTGACCATAAAGGGTGACGTAACAATTATAGCAAAAATTTGTGTGTAAGAACCTTACACCTTACGCCTTTTCCATGCTCTTTTTTTCTTTCATATAACTGATAGCTTTGGCTGGGCACTTACTATGTGGCATTAGCATTAGGGGCCTTGTGTGTCTTGTAATAGTACATGTAATACATAGTACATAATAATACATAATATCCATACAGAGAAATTGTGATATTTCAATGAGATTCATGTCCTTAGAGTGTTTTGGTTCAAAAATTAATCAATAAATGATCATTGGCAATCCATTATGTATGAAACATGGCTGTCCCTTACCTAGAAGCTACTATATGTTAAATGCTTAACAACAGTCCTAGAAGATAGGTTCTGTTATTATCTCCATTTTATTGAGGAGGAATCAGGACCCAAAAGGTTAAGCCTCTTATCCAAGGTTACCCAGCTGGTAAACAATAGAACTAAATTCAAGTCTAGCTGCTGCCAAAGATCTGATGTGCTGTGGTATATGCTGTCAGCCTCTCTTGATCAAAGGATTCAGAAGGCAAGAAACTCCATATGTTTCTAATTCAGTGAACAGGCTCCCCAGGCCTCCAGCTCGGCCTGAAATCGGGGATCCACATTGTCCACCTGCCCCACCCACTGGAGCAGGGGATCCAAGACAACCATCTTCATGGCCCACCTCAAAGAGTCTCCACCCCACCCCACCCCACTCCTACACACACAGTCACACACACACACCCAAGACTTCTGGGGCCTCATTTCAAAGTCTGACAAGAAATTAGTAGCTCCCACTATTCAAGAGAAAAAAGGGAAGAACTCCAGGTCAGGCTAGCCAGGTTTTAGCCTTCCCCACTCCGCTGCTAGGACCCAGGAAAGGTCCCTTCTCCCTCCAGGTCTGTTTTCCAGAGGGCAGTTGGGCTCCCAGTCAAAAAGCCCTTCCACCCCAAACATCCTGGGTCCCTGGTTTGTGTTTGTGAAAACCACAGCTGTAGCTCCACGAGGCAGGGGATGAAGCAGGAGCCGGGGTCGGCCGGTATTTCTCCCAGTGGGTTGAAATTCGCTGTTTATCTCCCCCACTGGTTTGTGAACTCCTCAAGGGCAGGCACCGGGTTTTAGTATTTGCTGTAACCTTGGCTCCTGGCACAATCTGGAATATCCCACGTTGTAAAGAAGTGTTTGTTGAATGAAGTTTTCCACCTTTCACCTGAGAAAAGATGCTTCCTTCACCCCCGGACCCGAGAGACAGAAGAAAGACTCATAAAAGTTTATTATATGAAAGAAAGAACATGGCTTCTGTACATCTATTTACAGAACAGACAGACTTATTTACAGCGAGATGGAGGCCTTGGTGTAGTTGGGGGTCAGATGCCTGGAGGAGAATGAGGAGCCTTGTATGGCTTGAAACAGGGAACCTCAGCGGCAAGGGAGCAGCAGAAGCTGGAGGGAGGAACAGGAGTTCCTGCTCTTCCTGAAGGGAGACTGGTGCATGTGTCGCAGTGGGATGGAGCCTAGAGTCCATGTAAGATCCTGGAGGTGCAAGGGAGATTCTGGAGTTGAACCCAGAACATTCTTGGGCTGATCACAGTGTCCCTGGGGTGCTCTGGGGAAAGGTATGTGCCCCTCTGCCCCTGATGCTGCCCGCAGCTGCAGAGGGGAAAGTCCCTGGGGGTCACAGCTCACTGGAACGGACAGCAGGCTCCAGTTTGTGGGACAGGGCAGTGAGGACCTTGTCAAACTTCTCATAGCGCCGGGCCTGGCTGCTGCTGGCGCCCTGGCTCCCCCAGAGGAGGCGCATCTGGAACTCAGTGCTGAACACCTCCAGGAGCTCTGGCTGGGCCTGGAACCCTGCAGAGTGGGGGCACAGAGTCAGGGGACCACCATCCAGTTGGGGAGGTGGGGGCTCCTTCCCAGGGCTCCCCATCCTTCAGGGCCTGGCTCATTGAGACCTCCGCCCAGCTCCACCAGGGATCCAACGAGTTTTGTTTATGAACATGACCACACAGTTTAGCACCTAGTCTTTGTCCTATTTGCAACATACAATTTCAAAATGACTAGAAGATAAATTTTTTTTTTTTTGTCTTTTTCCGTGTCCAGCAACAGATCGCAACCCTCAGTGTCGCCCCCGTACCGGACCGGGACCGGCAACGGGATCGCAGCCCTCGGTGTTGCCCCCACGCCTCGCTCAGCCAGTGAGCGGGAACCGGTCTGTATGTGGGATCCGAACCCTCGGCGGGAGCGCCGCCGCAAAGTGGCGCACTATAGCAGTGCGCCACTGGGCCGGCCCAAAGAAGATAAAATATTAATGTTATTTTTTTTAAGAGCTTGGGTGATTTTTCTTTTCTTTTTTTGTATTTTTCTGTAAGTTCCAAATTTTTTTCTAAGAAACACATATACATTTTGTAGGCTTATAGGATGCCCACTTCAAAGATGAGAACACTGAGGCTCAGCGAAGCTAAGATACACACCTAAGGTGCTCTTTGCATCATCTGTGCGTCCCCCATCCCTACCCGGTGCCTGCGACTAACAATTCCTTGCTGAACTAATGAGTGAACGAAGGAACGGGATGAGAAAGAGGAGTTGTGGAGACAGGGCAGGATGGGGGATGGAGAAATGTGAATGGAGGCTTGCAGGAAAGGGGAGCGGGAAGTCAGGTGGAGGGTGGCCCAGGCCCAAAGGACCCCCAAAATGTGACTGGCCACTCACCCTGCAGCTTGACCTCGGCGTTGGTGTGGTACAGGCCTCCGTGGTGCGCCACCGTGCGGGCGGCCTCCAGGTGGGCCAGCACCACCTCCATGCCATGCTCCGTGCTGCCCCAGGGCTCCGGGCCCTCGGCTGGGGCTGAGTCACACTCCAGCAGAGTGATGAGCGGCAGCACATGAGGAAACGTGGTGTTGCTTAGCGGCAGGCCTTCTGCAGAGAGGGAGACAGCAAGCACTTAGAGACCCTGGGGGTCCCCACCACCCACTGCAGGCCCAGAAGCTGAGGTATGGGAGGGAAGGGGCCTGACTGAGGTCTCAGAGACTCCCCAGGGCCACTGATTCCTGGGACAAACCCTTCCTGTCTGATTTCCCCAGCTGAACCCATTACAGCATTGGCCCAACCGCGAGGGCTGAGCCTGGACCTGAACACAGCCTACACAGTTGCCAGGTGCGGAAAGTGAGCATAGGGACAATGGCTTGCACAGAACTCAGTCAGGCTCACGTCATCCTCTTGTCACACTAGGAGAGTCTTTGCTGGCTCAGAGAGGTTTGGAGCCCATCCAAGGTCACATAGCAAAGTGGGGGAGGTACCTTTGCCCTCATTGAGGCTCTTGAGAAAAGGCTTGAGCTTCTTCTCATACAGAATGGCTCCCTCTGTGTGTCGCTGCCGCAGGGTCACCCAGGTCTGCTCCAGCCGGGAAATCTGGAGAGATTAGACTGTGAGAGACCAACCAGGGAAGGGGCCTACAGGGGCCACTGGCCTCAATCCACCCCACTGAGTGGACATGCAGATGTGAGATAATAATTGTTATTATGGCCACCAGTCAGGTACCAAGGGCAAGCTGACTGCTTTGCATATTTCTCTCATGAAACCCTCACACAAGCCACTTTACAGATGTGGGAACTTAGGCTCAGCAAGGGGAACGACTAGCCTGAGGTCATTCTGAAAATAAGTAGCAGAGCTGGGAGTGGGGCCCAGGACACTGCTCAGTGACCCTGCTGTCCTATGCATTAGGCATAGCAGAGGCAGTGCAGTGTGCGTAAGGCTCAGGGTCTGAAGTCAGCCAGACCTGGTTCAAACCCTAATTCTTTCAGCCTCTGACTGTGTGACTTTAGGCAAGTACTGCTCTGTCTCATTTACTCCATTTGTAAAGTGGGGACAGTAAAGGCACCCACCTCATGAGACTATTTCGAGGAATCAGTGCTGTTAAAGTGCTTAGCATAGCACCTACCTAGCATATAGTCAGTGCCCACTGAGTGATAGTCATTTTACTTTTATTCTTTAAACTCATATAATGCTCCTCATTCATTTTACAAGTGGGGAGACTGAGGCCCAGAAAAGGGGAAGGACTTGGTCTTCGAGCACGGTCAGCACTGGGAGAACTCAGTTCTCCAGCTTAACTCTTTTGCCAGTGCAGCCTAGAAACTCACAGAGCTCTTCCCCGGTTCGATACACAGTCAAGTCAGAAGCACACACGCCAGGGCTCTTCCGGACAGTCTACCGGACGCCCGCTCTCCGCCGGCCCCTCCGTACCTGGGCCATGTCCAGGGCGCCCATGACCGCAGCGAAGCTGAACATGTTGCCCATGGTGCCCCGCAGCTCGGCCGCCAGCTGGATGGTCTTGTGCAGCAGCGCTGCCCTCTCCTCGGCGGAGCCCGTGCAGCCCAGGATGTCCACGGCCAGCATGATGGACATGGTGTGGAACCTGCCGGGACAGACGGGGGCGCCGCCAAGGGCCGGCGGGGGTGGGGGGGAGGTGTAAAGAGTCGAAGAGCCCAGGGGGCGCGGCCGGAGGGCTGGAAAACGAGGCTAACGGCTTCTGATTGGCCAGAAGAAGTTAGGGGCGGGACCAGAGCCCCCCCCCTCCCACACACACACACTCGAGCGCCAGGCTCGGAGGAGGTCCCCGGGCAGAGCTGTTTTCAGAATGAACCAAGAGCCCAGAACCGGCGGGCGGGGCCCAGGCTGACAAGTGGGCGGTCGGTCCAGGGGATGCACAAGGCGAATCCCGAGATGGAGAACTCAGTGTTTGGGAAAGCAGGATCGCTCGGAGCTGGCTACCGAGAGGCCAACGGGACGGGAAGCGCGGCCAGACCCCCTGGGAGCCGCGCCGAGGCTGGGATTGGCCACCCGGCCACGGCCGAGGGAGCGAGGCAGCCCGGGGCTCCTGCGCGTGCCGGTGCTTTACCTTTCCAGCAGGTCCAGCCGCAGCTGCCGGCCATGGGGCAGGGTGAGCAGCTCCATACCCCAGCGGACTCCCATTAGGGCCTGCATCTCCTTGGTAACGCCCAGTATCCTAGCAACCTGCAAGGACGCGCACAGGGCTGATTAATTTCCTGTCAGGGCCGGCCCAAGCCATCTGGGAGTCAGAGAGCTTTACCTAAGAGGGTAGCCTGGCTCGGATGCCGAGTTTGAATCCCAGCTCCACCGCTAACCCTCTGACCTGGAGCACGGGATTCTACCTCTGAGTGAGCCTGTGAAATGGGGGATAGATGAGGAAATACCCCGAGGTGCCTGGCATGTTAATATGTAGTTAAGATTAAGGAGCAGGACACCCTTATTCCAAACAGCAAACCTGAAACCC